AATTAATGTGTTATTAAAGATTTTTAACTGACAAATTTTTAGTTAAGTTTTGTGTAAGTGATTGACGGAAAGAGTTTTTAATAAATATTTCTTGATAATCAGCTATTCAAATTTGATAAAATTTTTTGTTATTTTATGTATTTATAGAAATAAAAAAAATTTCATTGAATTTGAATAGATAATTGTAAAGATATTCTAAAATTTTTTAAGTTTTAACAAAGATTTCTTGATAACTATTTAACCAATTTCATTGAGTTTTTTTTATATTTTAATTCTATAGACATATATGGGATCTTGCTAAAAAAATCACCCTCCAACATTTTCTGATTGGGTTAATTCGGAACATTTTAAACCAACATACCGGTTCTTATTTAATAGCTTATCGAACAAACGTTTGAATCAGTAAAGGCAAAAATGATATACATGCAAATAAGCACCGGTATATTGGTTTGAATTTGTCCGAATTAGCCCGATCGGAAATGTCGAAGGGTGATTTTCCTAGCAAAGATTCCATATAGTTAAAATAAAGAGACTTTCACCGAGTAGTTATTGAGAAATCATCGCTAGAATCTTCAATTTTGTTTATTGGCTATTTCCCTTTTAGGAGGTTGTATTACCGGCACAAATAAGTAAAGCCGTTCGGATTTATTATACTGTATATAAAATTGGTGACCTGGATCTTGTATATGCACGATGTTTATCAAGGATAGACACGACTCCGGAATCTTTGATAAAATCAAACCTTGAGTCGATTCGACTCAAAAGTGTTAGCAAGTCGAGTTGAGTTGATGGAATTCTTAATAAAATCAATCTTGAGTTGATTCGATTCACTCAAGAGTAAGCAGGTCAAGTCCATTCAAGTTGCGCCGTGACCATCCCTATGTATTAACGTCAGTGTATTGGAATGAACTCGACCGTTAAATTCAAAACTTATAGATAAGTCTTGTTTTCTTTATTAACCTCCATGTCTTTAACCAATGATGTATATCTTGAAATATGTATCGTTTATATTTTAATATTCGAACTTATTAGTAATAAGTTATGATATATAATCTTCTCTCTGAATGAAAAGTTTTTTTTTTATTGTATAAAAAAACCATAACAGATATATCATTACTAATTTATTTTGCTCTAAATTCAGAATATTCTCCGAAATATATCAATGGATTAAGTTAGTTGATAATTATTGCTGGATGATTATTTTAAAAAACTATAAAGATTTTACAATGGATTCTTTTTTATAATTTTCGAATTTCACAGAATCGTACGTTTTTTGAGATTCAGTCGAGACCTTATAGGCCCAAGCAATGCAATAATGCGATGCAAGAAGATGCCATTCTTCGAGTTCATCCAACATTTCCAACTTTGATATCCTAAATTTTACGCAAAAATATTTAATAACTTCAATCCAAATCAGAAAAATAAAAATAAAAAAATAAATGATACCTAATATGTTCCTTTGGATCTATATAAAAGTCATAAATTTCATTCATATCGACAGCTTCAGCATGAGTCCATCCGCGTGATAAATATCTATCTTTTTGACTTTTAAGATCAGGATAAGCATGTATTCCACGAAGTTCTATATTTCGATGTTTTAGATTTTGTAACATGACAGATCCAAAAGCATCATTTGGTAAAATTTGTTCATAAACTATAAACATTGTCGTATTTAGGTTTTCCCCAATCCATTCCACAATTTTGTTGGAGTTCGTTGGGTCCATATATATCATCACGCATTCAGATAAGAATAATGTTGAAAGACTTACATAAATAAAAATCTTGCTTATGATATTTATAAAAACTGTTTTCAAAGAATCGGTATTTACATTTACCTGCGATCAAATCCGTTGGACTCCAACCTTGGAACCAAATCCTCGACAAAATCACGAAGATCTCCTGATAACAAACAATAATCTGACGCATAAAGCTCTAAGCCTCCTTTACCTGTATATTTTTGATTGATTAGAAACAAGAAAATTGATTGATTATTAAAATTATATTATAACTGACCTGTTCGAGCATCATCACCAATAATCTCTGACAATTCTTTATTTTTTCGAATAATTGCAACTTTCTTTGCAGTGATTTCAGGAAAATCAATTTCAAAATATTTATAAAATTTTCGTAATGATGACTAAATAATGTAAAAATGTGTTAACGAGTTAACTTTAAACAACTTTAGGAGTGAAAAAGAGAAAAAACCTTCAAATTAAAATATCGTGTGTCAAATCCAGCACCTAGCGACACTATTTGCTTTTTTCCATCTTCAATTTCCAGAAACTTTATTACCAGAGTATCTAGTCCTTTGTTACGCACATATGATCCTAATTTTAAGTTTAATAAAATAAATAAATGAAAATAAACGACTGATCAATCCGAAACAAACCTCACGCTATTAAATCGATACTACCTCTGTTAATGAGAGGCGATCTTTTTACAGGTCTTTTGAGAAAATACCTTACATACTCATCTTGAATATATCCTGCGTTTACAGCGGATCTATGCCCATATATAATCATATTTATTAATGAAATAATTTTCGAAGATACTGCCTTTCAAAGTTTTAAATTTTATGTTCGGCTTATTTTAACAGTATTTTTTTAACCGGCGCAAAGCGCTGTCCACGCATGATGTTCTGAGAAAGGATATTACTTACAATTTACTCGTAACTGCATCTTCATTAGTTCCACGAATAGCATTATCTTGAATTGAAATATCTTCTTCAGTGAGAGTTCTAAGCGCCATTTTTATTCAAAACCTGGAATTTTTATGAATCTAATTAATAGAATTCGATGGTTCATAATTTTTGCTTGGACAGCGTAGGCTCGTTTATGTATGTACCTATACTGATTCTGAAGGCACATTCGGTTTCAAATACAATATTTTTTTATTTATAAATGCGTGTTTTCGATTACTTATACTTAGTGCTGGGAAAACCCGCCACCCAAATTTATTTCAGATCATGTGAAATCATAAGGTAGATAAACTACCCTAGCGGACGATCTACGGACAACAGTGCAATCACGTGATAATCAAATTATGAGATCGGTTTTTTTTAATTTTAATCGAATTTGTCTCAACAACCACCCGACCGAATTCAATGAATTTTTTATTATTTAAATTCTACAGATTAGCAGAATTTAAATGAAAAAAAAATTATTGAATTTGATCAGATGGCTATTGAGATACCTTCGTTCAAAGTTAGAGAAAATTTTGCCGCGGCTATTATTTTTATAAATGAATTAATTTTTTTAAACTTTGATCGAAGGTTTCTCAACAGCCACCTAACAAAATTTGATGATTTATTTTCATTCAGATTCTAGAATTCAAATAAAAAAATCCATCGAATTTGATTAGGCAGTTATCGAAAAATTTGCCGTGAATATTTGATAGTAATAACTTTGATCGAAGGTATCTCAACAACCACCTGATCAAATTCGGTGAATTTTTTTTATTCGAATTCTGCGAATCAATAAATTTTAAATAAAAAAATTTCGATTCAATTTGGTTGGGTGGTTGTCGAGATACCTTTGATTAAATTTTAAAAAAATTAAACTGTTCATAAATATAATATCGCAGCAAAATTTTCTCTAACTTTTCGCGATAGTATCTCGATAACCATCTGATCAAACTTGATGAATTTTTTTTTATTAGAATTCTAAGAATCAGTAAAACTCAAATAAAAAAATTTTCATTGAATTTGGTCAGGTGGTTGTTGAGATACTTTCGATCAAAGTTTAAAAAAAATTAAAACATTTATAAAAATAATAGCTGTGGTAACTTTGAGCGAAGGTATCTCAATAACCATCTGATCAAATTTGATAAATTTTTTTTTATTTGAATTCTACTAATCTGTAGAATTCAAAAAATAAAAAATTCATTGAATTCGGTTGGGTGGTTGTTGAGATAAATTCGATTAAAATTTTAAAAAAAATGATTTGTGTAATTTAATTATATCACGTGATTGCACTGTCCCTATACACTGTCCGTAGATCGCCCGCTACCCCCAGGTACGCCAACAAAATGTCACATTCACGTGATGATCTACATCAAATTATCCAATAATTAATCACAATTTTGTGCATCATAATACAATCACAAAGATCCAAAACAAATGTCAGTTTTGTCAAAAATCACTTATTTCTCAAAAATTTACATAAGAAACTGCCTTTTGTGCACTAACAAGAAAAATACCTCAAGTAATTTTACTATACTCCCATTATTTACTAATATTAATTTAAACGCTAACCCTAATATAAAAGATTTTTCTGGAGATCATGTGATAATAAAATTTTGTTGGCGTACCTGGATAAGATAGGTAGATACATCTAATTTGATGCAGTTCCTGTTGATCAGAATTACATGATTCTGATATTATTCAATATATTTCATCGAGATGAATCGAACGGTACTAAAATCATGTGATTCTGATTGATAGTTCTCAAGATACTCCATTTAACCAAGTAAATATGAGATCTTTTACTTGGAAATATAGTCAAACTTTCTTATAGTCATTCTCTATATAAGCACATTATATAAAAAATCTCTTTATAAGCATATTTATTTTAAAACCAACTATTATAAACATATAGAAAAAATCTCTTTATAAGCATATCTTAGTAAAATTCTTTTTATAATCATACAAATCTTTATTCTGAGAAGTATGATTATAGAGAGGTTAGACTATATATAATTTTAAAAAAATCATATTTATTTTTTAATTAAAAATTTTGTAATTTGATTGGTGGATTATATTAGACAATCTTGTAATATACAAGTTTTCTAAAAAAGTTTTTTAAAATATCTATACCAATCTATTTTTATTTATAATTAAAAAATACAGCTCGTCTCAAGATTAATCTGAATATTAAAAAAACTCAAATTTAATTTTTAGAGAAGTTTGGGTTCTTTTTACTGCAAAGGTCTTATATATTTAATTTAATACTAATAAATGTTTACAATAAATATTATGTAGTGTATTGATCAGATTTTGGCATCATTGAATCAAATAATACCAAAATCTTGTAATTTTGATTAATTAGTAATTTGCCACTCAACTAGAGAGAGCTCATAGTATAACATAATATAGTTTATATATAGAAATTAGAGTTTTTGGAATGTGAGCTGCTTCTATCTAAAACTTTTTTTTTGTACTAAGTTAATCACTTTTGGGCCTCTAATTGAAGTTGTAGAGCTCATTAAAATAAATCTAATAGTAGTTGAATCATTAAAATCGGCTTTGTGAATCATGAAATATCTTCAAAATATTTTGCTGACTATGTAAACTTCTCTTTTAACAATAGTATTGTTGAAAGAGAAGTTTACATAGTTAGCGAAATGTTTTCGAGGATATCTCATGATCCACAAGGCTGATTTTAACAATTCAACTACCATTAGATTCATCTCAACGAGCTCTACAACTTCAATTAGAGGCCCAAAAATAATTAACTTAGTATAAAAAGTTTTAGATAGAAGCAGCTTATATTCCAAAAACCCTAATTTCTATATATAAACTGTATCATATTACTAGAGATAGGGAAGTTTGGTTTGGTTTGGTTTGATTAAACTTTGATATATGTAGTTAAAACCAAACTAACCAAAATATTAAGTTTTAAATAACTAGTTTAAAATTTTAGTTTAAACTAGTTTATGTACTCCTTATATAAATATATATAATTATACATGAATATATATAAATATACATAATTATACATAATTATGTATAATTATACATGCATATGCATATTTATATAAGGGATGCATACAAAATATGTAAGGAGTATATAAAAAATGCAATATTTATAATTTATATATAAACTGTATTAAAACTAGTTCAAATGGTTTTAAAAATCTAAACTTGGTTTTAAAAAACTAACTCTTTAAACCAAGTTTAAACTGGTTTTTTTAGAAACTTCCCTATCCTTACACATTACACTATAAGCTTTCTCTGGTTGAGTGGTGAATCACCAATTAATATATAGATATTTATTATAAATATTTATTTGTATTAAATTATATTAGCAAGTTTTTAAAATTACAATATTGTAAAAATTTACAATTGATATGAAATACAGTTATCTTCCTCTATAGTCATCTTCTCTATAATCACAAAATTAATATAATCATATTTATTTTTTACCAATTATTTTTATATTATTTATATCTTTATATAAGCACAATTGTTTTATAGTCACTATTACAATTTTTTATTTACTATCTATATAATATATATATAAAACTACTCTCACTAAAGTTATATCAAAATCATAGGTTTACTCTATTCTGAGTAAAGATACTACTGATTTGTGATAGTATAATCTGTGTATAAATCAGATTATATCACAAAAGCAGATTTATCACAAAATCTCAATATTTAAAATTTTAGCAATATATAATTCTGAACAAGTCAAGATCCTAATATTCAAAATCCTAAATAGTCAAATTCTAACTATCAAAAATTCTGCAAGTCAAAATCTTGATAAAGACAGGATTTCAATAGTTTAAAATTCTGAAATAGTCAAGATCATGAATAGTCAAAATTCTAAATATCTAATATCTTCAAAAATTAGAATCCTGACCAAGACGGAATCTTGATATTTATAAAAAATTAGCTAGATGATTAGTCAGCCAATTTGATTAAGATTGTAATTGACCAAGCTACTTAAGATCTGATAACTAATATAAAGCTATTATATATATTAACATTCTAACAATCTTTAAATAAGTATACATATGATATGAGTTTGGGCCCCGTAGCTTATTGGTTAAGCTTCCAAACTCCCACAAACAAGGTCGATGGTTTGAATCTACCTGAAGGTATAAAATTTGGGATTTTTAATCCTCTGTAAGCCTAAATAGCAGAAGTGCTATTTCAGATACAGAGCTTTGTAAAAAATCTAAGTACAAGTACAAGTTCTGGAATAGGAATTCCAGAAAAAGCTCTGATTGTGAAGCAGTACCGATATGCGTGTCTCCCACAGAAGGTCTAGGTTGTAGAAGATCACTCATGTAAGTTCTCTGGTTAGTGTGATTTGGAAGCAACACCAATATCTCTTCATCTCTGCTTTAGACAGTACCAATATTCCCACATACAACTTGTGGGTATTTGCTTGAAAGAATGATCAATGGATCATATATATTAGTTCTAATTTAGATTAGTGTTGGGTATTTGCTTAGAAGAGTGATATAATACTACCAAAACTGGAGTATCAAGAGAAGTGGTGAATATGTAAAAGGGCTGTGGTAAAGGATCAACCTTACCTGAATTGGAAGCACCTCTAGTATTGTGAAACAACTAACTAAAGAAGGTAATTTTATAGAAGCAGGCTAGCTAATCTAGTATGTCTAAAGGCATCAAGTCAGAGCTCTGGTCATATCTATATAGAAGTCTATGACAAAAAAAGCCAGAATACACCAACAATAATGCAATACCAACCAATAGATAAGAGTCCAAGTTGAAAGTTAATATGAATTGGAGTACGTCTTCTAGTAACATGACGCAAGGCCTATGGCTAGAAGTAAGATCCGGGCTCACCTTAATTCTACAAAATACGGTTCTGGTAATACACCATATGAGGAAGTACAAATAGATTAGTTGGTACCACTATACCAGAAAAAGAATATTAAGTCCTAGGATAGCAAACTAGTGGTGATAGTAGGACTTGGCTTGAGATATGGGTTAGTAGTATCTGGGCAGATAAGTAGAAGAGTCTCTGCCAATTGGCATATCTGACAATGTAATATCA